AACATATTCACATGAATGGTCAAAATCTTTGAATGAGATGCCAAGATTTCTCCAACATCACAATAAATTCATTTTCATCTGTCATATCTACATCAAAACAATCTGGCTTTTTGGTATTTTCTAATTATATTTGGAAAACAATGGGAAACAGTGACTATTAAAATTAAAATCAATAACTTTAAAATAAAACAATCAAAATAAAAGCCTAAAAACAATTAAATAATAAAATGGAAAAAGGAAATAAATAATTAAATTAATAAAAACTTCAACTTCAAAAAAAAAGAAAAAGTTCAACATAATAAATGTCAAAACATCTAATCATAAAATTAAACAACATATTCAAGATACAACAAAGGTTTTACTATTTTAATATCTGCAGAGTTGTTTCAAGGATTTTTACATTTAGTTATTTAGCAGATGATAGAAGCAATCAAAACTAACAAAAGAACAATGCAACACCCTAGCAACCACCCAGAACACTCCAGCAACACCCTAGTAACAGTAAAGCAATCACTAAGCAACAAACAACTCCCTATGAACCACCCAGAGTCTGTCTATGATTGTAAAACTTTAAAACATCAAGATTGTAAAACTATTTTAAACTTTCAGGCTGAGCATTCTGAAGCCATCATAACAAACTTTACTCATCTTGTTTATATACTTGGCCTCTTCCCAACTTCCTGTCTCTACAGGAAATTCATCAACACAGTAAAGAAAATTGCACTCATCAAGACTTTTCATAAAGCACATATTCTGTAGTTAATTTCACAATCCAGTAGATTCTTTTGCTTCACATGAAGCATCTAAGAAACGCCTCTTCTCTTTCATTCAAACTCTCTGATATCACGAGACAGAACTGTGCTGTTCTACAGGAACTTTACTGACAGTGACGTCTGAACGTCTCGCGGCTTTTCTGATCTTCTTAAAGCGAACAGAAGTCTCTCCTCCTCTGCCGCTGTTGTTTTTGTCTCATTTCACACCGATGCCGTTCTCGTCACTCATCTCTGCTCATATTTACTCAGACTGTAATGGAGCTTCAAAAGCAAAAAGCTGAATGGATCCAAACCCTGTGCGAAAGCCTCGATGAGATGTTGTGTCCTCGAGGCAAACCGTTAGTGGTCTAACAGCGCGATGAGCTCAAACGGACTGTAATTTCCCACCGAGAACATAAAGCTCTCCAGATATCAGGCATTAAACCCAAAACACACATTACAAACAGTAAGAAAATCCAATGATTTAAAGGCACAGATCAACTAAAATGAGAATTCTGTCATTATTTATTCACCCTCTTGTCTTTTTTTTTCTGTGCAACACAAATAGAGACTGTTTACACAGAGATTTGTCATATGTGACCCTGGAACATTTTTGGGAAATTGGGATTTATACATCATCTAAATAAATGAGCTTTCCATTGATGTATGGTTTGTTAGGATAGGACAATATTTGGCTGAGATACAACTATTTAAAAATCTGGAATCTGAGGGTGCAAAAAAATAAAAATACTGAGAAAATCACCTATAAAGTTGTCCAAATGAAGTTCTTGGCAGTGCATATTACTAATCAAAAATTAAGTTTTGATATATTTACGGTAGGAAATTTACAAAATATCCTCACGGAGCATGATTTTTTACTTAATATCCTAATGATTTTTGGCATTTAAAAAAATCAATCATTTTGACCCATACAATGTATTGTTGGCTATTGCTACAAATATACCCCAGCGACTTAAGACTGCTTTTGTGCTCCAGGCTCACATATATCGACCTTTTAATAATGACCATGACTGGCAAACTCCAAAAACACCCTAAAAGCATAATAAAATTAATAAAACTACGTCCAGATCATATGCACGACTGACTATTATGATGCTTTTATGGTGTTTTCTCCTTTTTAGGACTTGACAGTCAAGGTAACCCTGCAAAAAATGATTTCTTAAGTTTATAATGAGTCTTCTTTTAATTGAAAAATCTCAAAATCCTTGAAACTAGATCAATTTACTTGTAAAGCAACACTGCATAATCTACTGTATTAAGGCATGTTTTTAATTATTTCATTGTGCGTATTTTGTTATACTGCATGGCAGATATTTTTTCACTTTTTTAACTTGTTTATATTTGAAACTAATTTCAAAAGATACACATATTCAAGAGACAAGGAAAATAAGTCTTAATATCTTATGTAGAGTTGGAAAACAAGACAATTTTTTCGCACTACATTAACATATTCACATGAATGGTCAAAATCTTTGAATGAGATGCCAAGATTTCTCCAACATCACAATAAATTCATTTTCATCTGTCATATCTACATCAAAACAATCTGGCTTTTTGGTATTTTCTAATTATATTTGGAAAACAATGGGAAACAGTGACTATTAAAATTAAAATCAATAACTTTAAAATAAAACAATCAAAATAAAAGCCTAAAAACAATTAAATAATAAAATGGAAAAAGGAAATAAATAATTAAATTAATAAAAACTTCAACTTCAAAAAAAAAGAAAAAGTTCAACATAATAAATGTCAAAACATCTAATCATAAAATTAAACAACATATTCAAGATACAACAAAGGTTTTACTATTTTAATATCTGCAGAGTTGTTTCAAGGATTTTTACATTTAGTTATTTAGCAGATGATAGAAGCAATCAAAACTAACAAAAGAACAATGATATGCAAATGCTATAACAATTAATTTTCATTGTAGAAACACAACAATCAAAACAAAACACTTACTAAAAACAATTACATTATAAATGTGGAAATAATTTAAAACAAAAAATAAGAACGTACTTAAAATGTAATTAAAAATGTAAAATTAAAATAAAACAACAACAAAAATAAAATAAGAGAAAACAAAAACAATCAAAATAAAACAGAAAAAAATAACCAGATCATAAAAATGTAACAATTAAAATGACACAAAAACATATACTGTATTCAGTATACAATGAAAGCAAGTTTTACTATTTTAATATCTGCAGAGTTGTTTCTAAAGTAAATTAACAATGTTTCAAGGATTTTTAGATATTTTAACTGGAAGACGAGTCAAAAATACTAATTAAAATACTTTTTTTTTTTGCAATGCACTATGAAACGAACAAGAGATTCTCCAGATGTGTTTAATGGAAGAATCCTCATCATACGGGTTTAGGACGACACGAGGCTGAGTAAATAGCTCATTTTTTGACTCAGAACAAGAGCTAAAACTGTTTGTGAAGAGGACAATGCTTCTACTGGAGGCTTTGAGGGACAATGAGGGTGTGTTAAACTGCTCGTACTTCTCTTTGATAAAAGAAACAAGCTTTCTCTCGTTCTTCTCTCGCTCCGCGGCGTCACATCAAAGTCTGGTCCAGAGCTGGAGGTCTGAGAGGAGCATAATGAATTGATTTGATGATTTGGGCTGCTGTGGATCAATAGCGTGGTCTCTCATTGGGCCCGAGGCCACGACAGAGCGATCTGTGATGTGTGTCTGCAGCTCACAGCCAAATGAATGGAAATGCCACAAACTCCACTCAATCGCTAACTTTCAGTGTGGGTTTGAAATGGAAAAGCGTCAAATGAAAGGGAATATATATGTGCGTTCTAATTGACTTTGCCTTTTAGGAAGCAAATGCTGAGACAGCCGGGTTATCCGTCACATCTACAGCTTCCCAATGAGATTATGAAAACAGAGAGAATTAGCTGGATGGTAAAGTGATTTGGGCAGAAATTGAATTTGTCACGGGACTGTGGCTTTGTAAACGGCGTTGACCCAAAACACAAGAGCGTTCTCTCACTCAACGCAACGTCACACTCCATCGCGCTTAGATATAGCTAATGACAAAGTCACACTGAAATATATGAGATGACGTACATCTGAATCATGACACATGGAATTTATAAATAGAATAAACATCTATAGTTACAGTGCTTTCTTTTGATGTGTGCGTATCATGTCATTAAAAATGATCAAAATAAAACACAAAATTAATTAAATCATAAAAATTTTAAACTAAAATCATTTTAAATTAAAAATAAATCAAAATAAAACACTTAATAAAATTAAAATAATTTAAAGTAAAAACAGTTAAAAAATAGCTGAATAATGACAAATTCAAATAAATATTTTAAATATAAAAATAAAACAGAAAAAAATACAAATAATTGAAATTGAACAAAAACTTAAATTAGAAAAATATAACATTAAAACACTTATTAAAAATTTATTTAAAATTCTAATAATTTTTAAATAAACATTATTTAAAATAAAAATAATTCAAAAAGTTGAATAATAAATGACAAATTAAAATACATATTTTAAATATAAAAATGCTAAATAAAACACAAAAAATTAAAACAATTGAAATTAAACAAAAAAAATTCATTTTTTAAAATAAAACCAAACAAAATAAAACATGTACTAAAATTTAAATAATAAAAAAGTAAAATAAAAAAAATTCTTAAAAACCAAAACAAAACACTTGATAAAAATGTAAAATAAATAAATAAAATATGAAATAAATTCAAAAATTTGAATAAAAAAGCTGAATCATAAAAGTGTTGAAAGTTGAACATTTTTTGAAAACACAAAAAATGTATTTTTCATAAAATGTAAACAAAGTAAAAATAAAATTAAACAAAAACTGAAATAATAAGAATATAAAATTAAAATACGTATCTTTAAAATAAAACCAATCAAATGAAAACAGTTACTAACAATAAATCAAATCATAAAAATTTTGAATATTTTTAAAATAAAATACAGAAGTAAAATGCTAATCATTCAGCTAATTTATTCAGAAATTACTCAGGGGTTCAGCTGACAAAAAAGTTAGTGAATCCGTGATCTAGGAGGTGAGAGATGCAGACGTGAGACGCTGTCGGCTGAACACGGTTCGTTTCTGTCTGCCAGGTGTTTAAATGGTGACCCCGTGACCCCGAGGAAACGGCTCTTCTGTGGACGCTGGAGCATCTGTTAGAGCCACTCACCCAGACGCAGCTGTCTGTGGACGAACTCACCTTGTCACAGCGCATCAGGCCCAGGTACCGCAGAGACTTGCTGCTCCTGGCGATCTGAGTGGCTCCCTGATCCGTGATCTCCTTACACCAGCCGGCGTCCACCGTCTCAATGCTGCTGCTGTACTGACCGATGGCTATCAGAGCTGGACACAGAGACACCATCACAAATCTCTGAACTAACTTAAGTCTGATTTATTGCCATGACAATTTAAAATAATAAATAATAAAATGCATTTAAAATAATATACATTATTTATTCTAGTTGCATATACTTAATTTATGTAAGTGAGGACAGCAAAATAAAGTGAACTGTGACATACTGTATTATACCCAACAATTATTCATACAGTGGTCTACCAGTAAAACTGATAAAAATTTGGGACCAAAAGTTATTCAGACACTTTGACCTTAGCATGTTTTGCTGAAGTGTTTTTTCTTTAATTGCTAATGTGATCTTTTTACTCCACAGACTGAACAAAATGAAGCATTGCTTGGTAATTAGTTGAGCTAAATTGGTTTTATCTAATTACAGCTATTCAACCGAATTCGTTACATACCTTTCTATCAAAGTTATCTGACATTATCACAGTTTATTCAGTTTCACTCGGAGTTCTTCTCATATTTTATTACCAATTTCTAAACTAAAACGAATAAACTGTGATAATGTGAGAAATGTTGAAGGTGTCTGGATAAATTTAGGTTTGACTGCATATAATATTCACACAGATCAAACGCGTCATGCAATAACTATCTCAGTATGGCTGCGTTTTTTTTATTTTATTAAATTTTTATTATAATGTACACTTCATTTAATTTAATGTAGGCCTATATCTAATTTAATGTACACTTAATTTTATTTAAATTTAATTTAATAGTCATTTTATTTTGTTTTAATCTCATTTTAAATATTTCATTTTTAATTTTACTTAATTTTATTATTTAATTTATTGAGTTTTATTTATTTTTAATTTAACTATTTATTTGCACTTAACATTACATTTAATTTAATGTACACTTCATTTCTTTCTATTTAAAAATTTACTTTATTTTATTTACTTTTTAATTTTAATATAATTTATGTATGCTTAATTTAATGTACACTTTAATGTAATATATACTTAATTTATTTTATTTAAATTTTTTATTTTATTTTTAACTTACTTTTAATTGCATTTTTAATTTATGAAATTTATTTACACTTAATTTAACGTACACTTTATATACACTTAAGTTTAATTTAATGCTATTGTTTAGTTTAGCTTAATATTCAATATAATATTTAAATGGTCCAGCAGGGTGATAAATTAATTTATAAAATCCACACTTGAGTGTACTTAATATGAGCTCATAAAAGCTAAATTTATTCTAAATAATATAAAAATTAACAATTTCACAATCATTTCCACAAAAGACTAATGTCAAAATGCCGACAAACCATTTATTATTTGAGTTTTACTCAAACTACATGTGAAATGTTGAATTCAGAGCTGGTCGTGTGGGTTCAGATATTGAATCCCATCTATTCAAAACATGAATCACGTGAAGTCAAACGAAAAGCATTGCATGTGTATATGTCTCTACTCTTACTGTGGATTACAGAGGTGAATTGCGAGGAGCGTTCATGGCCTCTAATATATATTGTTGGTGAGACTTAAGCTGCAGACACTAGCGGAAGTAAAAATTGTCCGCTCTGAGCACTGAAGCATACGGCCGTGTTTTCAATTTCCAGTGCTGTTGATTCAATGGCTGAGTGAATGCATGCTGCTTTACTTTAAAAACACACACACACACACACACACA